CACAACAGTCTGTTTCATCCGTATAGGAATCATCAGGAATCAAACAGACTGTTGTGGTTTTTTGAGGTAAAACGAAAAACTATATATATAATATATATATATATATATATATATATATATATATATATATATATATATATATATATATATATATATATATATATATAGCTTAAGATTTGGTTTACGAAACACAAACAGTGCTCAATACCATATAGATAGAGCGTAATATAGTTTTTCGTTTTACCTCAAAAAACCACAACAGTCTGTTTCATCCGTATAGGAATCATCAGATTCCTATACGGATGAAACAGACTGTTGTGGTTTTTTTAGGTAAAACGAAAAACTATATATATATATATATATATATATATATATATATATATATATATATATATATATATATATATATATATATATATATATATATATATATATATATATATAGCTTAAGATTTTGGTTTACGAAACACAAACAGTGCTCAATACCATATAGATATAGCGTAATATAGTTTTTCGTTTTACCTCAAAAAACCACAACAGTCTGTTTCATCCGTATATGAATCATCAGGTGGTCATATACGGATGAAACAGACTGTTGTGGTTTCTGTTGTGGTTTTTTGAGGTAAAACGAAAAAATATATATATATATATATATATATATATATATATATATATATATATATATATATATATATATATATATATAATATATATATGTATTAAAGTATTACAAATCTTTAAGGGTTATTATAGATAGGGACTGTTTATTACGCGGATGTAAACCTTAAAATCAGGCAGGGGCGTGACTTTGCGGGTATAAATTTGAGGAAAATTTAGTTTTAAACACATTTATTTTTTCAAAACATGTATAAAGTTATGCTTGGAATATATATCGTCACTTGTTCGAGATGTTTCGCAATTCGATTCATCATAATCACTGCTTTCTAAAGCTCAAAAACTGGCTAGGAGAATGCAAAGTCGTGCCCATTTTGTTTCCTATGTAAACTATTTCTTCAAAGCTAAAATTGAATAGTTGAATCCTGGATTGAATAATCGAATTTCAAAATTGAATCATTGGATCCTAAGATTGAATCATTGAATCTTAAAATCATCATTGAATCCTAAGATTGAACTATTGAATCTTAAGATTGAATCATTGAATCCTAGATTGAATCTTTGAATCCTAAAATTGATCATGAACCATTGTATCCTAAATTGATTCATTGAATCCTAAAATTGAATCGTTAAATCCTAAGATTGAATTATTGAATCCTAAGATTGAATATTGAATCCTAAAATTGAATTAGTCTGTCCTAGATTAAATGATTGAATCCTAAAATTGAATCATTGAATCCTAAGATTGAATCATTGAATCTTAAGATTGAATTATTGAATCCTAGATTGAGTTATTGAATCCTAAAATTGAATGATTGAAATCTAGATTGAGTCTTTGTATCCAACCTGAATCCATAAAATCAACCCCGCACGTACAAATCTCGAGGGACAAATTTACCACTCTTGTGATTTGGACAATACAATCTGCCTGATTTTAAGTAGAATTGCTTGATTTTAATGTATAATCTGCCCGACTTGAAGTGGCTGTTGCTCTCCTCCTTTCCCAAGGCTATGTTACCACTATCATTTGTTCCCTGCAATATTTGTGCTTTAGTTGTGTCCTAAAAATCTTTAACTTTAACTTTAATTCTTTATTTCTATGGTGTGTTCTCTGTAATTAGTGTTAATTCTGCAGACGACGTAGATAATATTTTCGAAAAATATCCGGAAAAGCATACTTTGGCGAATTCGAGACACTTATTTCCTTTGCTGTCCGCCTTTTTTGCCACTCAAAATCGCCTGATTTCTTAGCGTGACGAAGTATTTCCACTTAATGCATGATCTGACTAAATAGTAGCAAGTGCCTCCTTCAAGTTTTTTGCCCCTCCCCCCGACACCAGGTTTGATTCCTAACAGAGGGCCTATACAGTGGTAGCCTGAAAACAGACCTACGTTTCGCCCGTCTTAAAATTCGCGGGTCGACGGAAAGGGCGAAACGAAGGTCTGATGAAAATGTTGTCAAAATCGCTTTCCGCACACTTTGCGTTTTGGAATAATTAACGATGATGATTGAACATCTACATGTAACACCTAAGAATACAATGAAAGTTGTCGATTCACTTTAATGAAAGTTTGTAAACAAAGTAAGAGTCGATAAGTACAGATGTTTGAATAAGTATTAAAAATATTGGTAACATACCCTATGCAGTAAGTTGCTTTTATGTACTCTTAACCTTTTAAGCAAACAGTTACAGCTAGTAACATTTTCAACACATTCTATCAATCCAAATAAAATCTGCCTACGCAAATTTGGCAATGGCCAAGTCCCATTGTTGAATTGCATCCAAACTCTTACAATTTATACATTTTGAAACCGCCATACAATGCTAAAATCTAAATAAAATATTTGGTACTTGCTATCTTATCGAAATGTAAATCATATAAACGCACTATTGCGCTGACACATACTTTTATCATTGTATCAGTTTTATCACAGGTTTTATTTAAAGGCCGTTTACACGACAAGTGTTTTGGGCACGGCACCCCTGAAAATGGGCACCGTGCCAAAACCGCCACTTCGCTATTTACTCGTTTACACGGCAACTTTTTGTAGACACACTTTTATGATAAGCACCGTGCCCATCGGAAAACGGCGCCTCTACTTTCCGTTTACGACGGTATATTTTAAAGAATAAATATGTCGGACAGAAACAGAATTATATATTTATATTTATTGGAACGAAGAAGAGTATTATATGAGCCCAAAATCGAGGGAAAAAACAATTTAGTACTAGAAAAGTACTTTAAGGGCAATGGGAAAAAGGGCAAAAGTTATACTGGTTAGCGAGAAAACTTTTCGACAAGTTGACAAGCGAGATCTCGCCTTGGTATGAAAATAATATGAAAAGTTACATTGCGTTCATATAAGACAAAAAGTTTTCCCGTGTACCGAGATCTCGCTTGTTGACAAGCCAGATCTCGGTGACCGGGATAATGTTTTTCCCGTATATATGAACACAACTTTCCCGCTTAGCAGGATAACTTTCTGTCGTGTCAGCAAGTTTTTAATTCAATTGTATTCAGTGCTATGTCACAGCCGGAAACTGTACCCGGTAAGCGGGATAACGTTTCTCCATGTGAACAGAACAAAAGTATTTGTCTAGTCGAAAAGTTTTCTCGTTAACCGGGATAACTATTGCCCATATGAACAGACCTTTAAGGACGAAAGGAGTTGTTTTCTCGCGTAAATATTGTGCCATTTTGTATTCACCCGCCACGAATTCGAGAGGTATGGACGCATCAAAGGCGCATCAAAGTATGGACGCATCAAAGCAAGTGGCATTTGCTACGACCTAGTTACTGCTCTAGAGATTCAGCGACGAACAATGGTATCAACATTTCCGAGCCAACTTGAGCAACATTCACATTCTGTGTTATTTAAATTTGTTTTTTAACTTCGTTTTTTTTAATTTTGGCAAGTTGCAGTTTTTCGCCGCTTGCTGCCATGTTAGAAAGAGGACAATTTGTTTTGCGCATGCTCGATGTCGAACACAATTTTATATTTTTTTCGAAATTTGGGCACGGCACCGCTTGCTAGACGAGCCGAGACTACCTCGTGAGAAAGTCTCGGCACGTTTAAATTTTGCGGCACCGGTGCCGATTTTTGTCACGTTTACACGCCAAAAGGCAGAGGTACCGTGCCTAAAATTTTGGGCACGGGTGCCCATTTTAGGGGTGCCGTGCCCAAAACACTGGTCGTGTAAACCGGCCTTAACATGATCATCACAAAACGTAGATAGTGTAAAAATTATTGTTTTGTATATTGCAACAGAAAGACACAACACTTTCGACACGTACTGCTCTACTCCCCTCTAGTTTTAATTTTAGACGAGAAATTCAAATACTGTTAGCTAGTTGTCGGTCGACTTCACAAAATATTTAGAATATTACACTATATGCATATTATTTGGGTTGATAAGTAATGTTTACAGCATGAGCGGCCGTGTTGTATCAGATATACAAACTCGAGCCGAAGGCGAGAGTTTGTATATCTGATACAACACGGACGCGAATGTCGTCATCTAACCATCATTTAATACAGTTTCAAGCTGTGTGCCACAAATAAGCAAACAAGATATGTTAGGTTTCACACTGATGCGCAGCAAAGCATATATTCTACAAAATGTTTGCATTGTAGCTATATAATCAAGGATGCTATATAATCATGGATTCCCTTTTTTATACAATACATTTTATCAGGGGGGAGGCAAAATTTTGCCAGGGGGGCCGGGCCCCCTTGCCCCAGCCCTGGCTACGCCTCTGGTTCAGACTAGCTTATAGTTGTATTTTTCGCTTCTGCTATGCGCAAAAATGTATAAAACTCGCACTCGAGATTTCCATTTACAATTAATATTTGGTATCGTCTGATAAACCCAAACGCCTCATGTATTAACGGCTTATTGACCGAGCGTGAGGTCTGTACTGTGAAATATCAGACCGAGGTTTTTTAGTACGAACCGAGCGACGGAGGAGCAAGGTTCATGAAAAAAACAGAGGTCTGATATTTCACATTACAGACCGAACAAGCGAGGTTAATAATCGGTTTATGATATGGCTGAACTGAGCCTGTGAGCATATGCTTTTCGCGCGAATTAAGAATTAAATCGGCTATTGTCAGTCTCACTGGGTAAAAATATATGGTAGGCATGCATGCTCAATCAAAAACAATTTGGTTGTTTGAATTTTTATCTGTAAATTTTAGTAACACACAATTGGAAAATTAAAAGCAAAATTTTTTCTGTTTGCAAAGCAAAAATATGGGTTTTTACGGACCGCTTGTCAACCAATCAGAATAGAGAATTTTGTAAAGCCATATAATAAAATGTTATACATACCTATTTTAGGACCCTCAATAGTGAAATGTTTTTTTATATTTCTGGCTAGATATGAGGCTTCTATTACTGCTTTATGTGCGTTTCCTGGCAATAGCTTCCAAGACATCAGTACAAGAATGTTTTAACGAAGCTGCTACCAAGTACATAACTTGCAAACCTGTCCATGGAAGACCAGCTGCTTGTGACTGCACATTTAGAGATCCATGCTATATTAAAATGATCGTAAGCCGGCGGAGAGTTTCTGGTGTTGACAAATTCCATTATCTTATCAATCAAACATTCCAAGGCCCAACTATTATTGTGAAGCAACATGGGATTGTAGTCCTTGATATTTCCAATGAAATGGACGAAGACACTGCTATACATTTCCATGGACTCCGGCAGCGTAATGTTCCATGGATGGATGGTGCGGGAAATGTTACCCAGTACCCTATACAAGCTCATGGGCGATTCAGGTAGATTACATATACATACAAGCAGAGGGGCGCAACTTAACAATTTGTTGCGCCATTGTTCGTCAAAATTTGTAAAAGTAAGAGTGAAAGTGAAAGTGAACGTGAACGTGAACGTAAGGTCAGTAAGGCTCGGTTTAGACGCCGTGCTTTTCATGAGCCGAACTTAATTCATATTTTACTCGAGTAAAATAGGCGTACTTCCAATTTTGAATTAGACAGGCGTGCTTT